GCGGACAACACACGCAAGGTCCTGAATATACTGCACAGTTTACCCAAACTACACAAGGGGGGAGGGATTGTCATCTCCCTAGATGCCGAAAAGGCATTCGACCGCCTGCACTGGGGGTTCCTGGAGGCAGTCCTGACAAAATTCGGAATACCAGGAGAATTCAGAGCCGCGGTCAAAGCGTTATATAGCGCTCCGACAGCCCAGGTACTCAACGCAGGTTTCCTTTCTAACCCGTTTAGTATCTCAAATGGCACGAGACAGGGATGTCCCCTGTCTCCCTTGTTATACGTTCTGGCCTTAGAGCCACTGGCAATAAAGATTAGGCAACATGACTCTATCCACGGGGTACGGATTGGGGATAAGGAATATAAAGCCAACTTATTCGCGGATGACGTGCTCCTGACCCTAACACAACCACTGATTTCACTGCCAAACCTACTGACTATCATAAAAGAATATGGAGACAGCTCCTACTACAAACTAAATGTGACAAAAACTCAAGCCATGGGGATTGGGATGTCTGATGCCGTCCTACAGGTATTGCGAGAGAAGTTCGTAATGGACTGGAGGACGGACAGCGTCTCTTTCCTGGGACTTCAATTAACAAAGACAATGGGGGGACTATTTAAGGCCAACTACGAAGCCCTACAAAAAGAGATAGAGGCCAGTTTAGCCTCATGGGGAGATAAATACCTCTCCTGGCTGGGCAGGATGGCTGCATTTAAAATGTCTATCCTCCCCAAATTACAATACTTATTTCGAACTCTCCAAATAGATCTTCCAACCTCCTACTTAACCAAAACACAGGCGATACTTACTAAATTCGTATGGGCACGTAAACGAGTGAGAATAGCTGCCAAACACCTGTATAGACCCACTTACCAAGGGGGTCTAGCCCTACCAAATATCAAAATATATTATCAGGCGTCGTTACTAGCCCCAGTGCTAGGGTTCCAATCCCCAACACAGGTCCCGCAATGGCTGGAAATAGAAAACCATTGGCTTCAAGGGACAGACCTCCGCAGCTTGTTGTGGGTACCTAAAACACTACGCTCCCACCAACCCAACATATTACCCACCACGAAAACATTACTGAGGACTTGGGACAGAACACACAAATCACTGCTCTCTGCGACACCGTGGTCACCGGCAACACCTCTATCATGCTTACATGTAGCAAACAACACATTTGACCATAGGGAATGGACGAGGAGAGGCTGCACACATGTGAGAGACTTACTGGAAGGACGACAGATAGTCCCATTCCCCATCATTAAAGAGAGATTCGAACTGCCCCCCAGATCGATATTCCCGTATCTCCAACTAAAATCCATGCTAGGGGCCCAAAAGTCCACAGTAGAGGGGGAGACCACACTCACGGAGTTTGAAAGGACTTGTTTAAACCCAAAGCAGAAGAGGGGCCTGATTTCCCTGTGCTACACACTCCTAAATGGAGGAGATCCCGTACACAAAGACAGATTTAGTACAGCGTGGCAGGCAGACATTGGGAAGCACTTCGAGGCCACCCAATGGAGACGCGCCACCACGGCACACAAAGGAAGGACCACATGCACATCCCATCTAGAATTAATGCGCAAGATATATTACAGGTGGTACATGGTGCCAGTAAAACTGGCAAAAATTTACCCAGGAACCTCAGCCGAGTGCTGGAGATGTGGGGAACCAGAAGGCTCGATGTATCACATATGGTGGACGTGTGAAACACTTAGACCCTATTGGGAGATGGTTGAAAGGTTACTTAATGAGATACTAGAGGATAATATTACACTCACCCCAGAAATGGGCCTACTGTTCATGAACATAGATAGATTCCAGGGCAGCGAGACAATTCTAGTCTTTCACATCCTAATAGCGACACTGACTCTTATAGCCAGAGAATGGAAGTCAGACAAGGCACCGACGAAAACAGCCCTAACGAGACAGATATCCACCAATTTACATTACGAACTCATAGCCAGGAAAAACTTGGGAAACAAGCGCAAGTTTGAGGAAGCGTACAGTAGGTGGGAGGACAAAAACGCGTCCCAGGAGATAGGAGACAGAGACGGAGACTAGCCCACTGTCACAGACCCAGCCCGACATGTAGAATTTACATAGCAAGCGTACAAGAATCCCTCAAGACTGAGGGGAGCCCAGGGACTTGGACCCCCAGGGGAAGAGCGAGAACAGACAGGAATCACCGGAAACACCAGAGAACGGCAGGGAAACGATAAGAATATAGCGAGTATAGAATAGAACAAAACCGGTAGGGAAAGAGGGCATATCACAGTCTTTCCCCCCCCTAAACCCCCCCCCCCCACAGCCCACTTCCCCCCCCCCCTATGCAGGGAACGGCAAGCTAGTTCAAAGGCAAACTTCCAGAGAGTACAAAGGATCGCTTCAGGGAAACCTAAACAGAGATGATAGATAGCGGGGCGGCTAAGCAGGTCCCTGAGCAGAGACAGGAGGACGAGGCGAATGCAGACAAAGGGCAGGCTAGTCCGCTGTGAAACAGAGGAATATAGGCGAAGTCACATAGGAAGCTACATAAGATTTTACATGTGATGCTGCATATGATGTTATACACGATGTTATGTACTATGTTAAACTGGAAGTTATGTAAAACGAGATGTGGGATGTTCCCCCCCCCCCCCTTTCTTCCTTCTGTATCCCAAGTTTGCTTCACAAGTGAAAATAAAAATTGTCAAATTGAAAAAAAAAAAATATGATGTTTATAATACGTTTTATTGTAGGGCTTTAGAAGGTCTTCACTTAAAGATAATAAGTAAGTTAGAGGGTTAAAGGGTATATTCACTTCGACAGCTGTCTGTACTATTAAGTGTATTGAGGTCCAGAAAGACTAAGTTTATTGGCAAGAACACCAAACGTAGTGCTCGGTACCCACATGGTTTCTGCGTGTCCAACAAGTGTTTGGGTGAAAGGAAATAACCCGTGTAGGCAACTAGGTAGAATTTTCCTATGCTGTTCAAAATGTGCAGTTGAGCAGGTCAGGTCTTTATGGACATTTAAAATTGCATTTAATTGAACTCTGTATCTCAGCTTCTCACTCTTTAGCTATTTTAGATTAAGAAAAGTTTACAGGTTTAGATAAGAGTTGATGACACATGGAGATTGGTTTACATCTTTTTTTTCAATAGCGCCTGCTAAAGAAAATTGTTCCCATGGAGTCCTGATTGTAACACTGTGGCTTGAGGATCAGCGTATATAGAGGATATATATTTAAAATGAAGAAGGGAATCCAAATTTATCAAGCAAGAACCCCAGGAAGTTATAGATCAGGTGGCCAAATACCTTTTCAACATCCAACGCCAGCAAGAGACCCCCTGAACCAGAGCTCCGGAGGCGGGGGAGCTTGTTAACATGAGCTACACCTGGGCGGCCTTGGACACACCCAGTGTGATCATTTTGAAATAACCTGGGTAAAAGGGAGCAAATTAGTTTTTTTGCATTAGTATTAAACAATAGTAATTGCCCAGATATTTTTACATAAAACAGATTTATCTGGTTTGTGTAAAGTAGCTGTTGTTGCTAACAACATATCGGTAGGAAGCTAATTCTATTTGCCAAAATGTTTGTATTGGTATTAAGAAGCGATATTGGTAGAGAATGTTTACATAAAATAGGAGATTTATCCGGTTTGTGTAACGTAAGTGTTGTTACTAACAGCATATCAGTAGGAGTCAAAGTTCCTGTAAACTGAGCTTTCTGAAACACAGCAATATGGGGCCAAAATAGTGGTGTATTTTTCCATAGTAATTGTTGGATTATCCATCAGGGCCCGTGGGTAAGTACGATAAGTATAAACACTATTAACAGAAAACTCTTTTTTTTGTCTTTATTCCTGTTGTGATTTTTTTTGTGTAGGTATTCATAACATGGACAGTATTTCTACACTGGCGAGTATATAAAAGTAAGGTACAGGTTAAACCATATGAGCAGGGGTAATTCCAAAAATCAAACCCCTGAACGACTATGGTACCCTTCTATACATAGAATATTGTTATAATTTAGTAAGGATGTAGCCCATCAACAGAATTTGTATCCATAAATAAGGCAAATTCTGTAATATATGGCACACTACAGTATAGAACTATAGCAGACACAATGGGAACAATGGATTAGAATAACGTAAAATTTGTGGTGCAGGTAAGTATGCAAGTTTGAGATACATGACTTCGGAAGCCAGAGTCCACTCCAGTGACATCTGTGGCAGTTTATTTCCTTTTGGTTCCTGCATGTGTCTGGGCATGCAATTCTCCAGCTACAAAGCAGGAAGAATCCACCCTCTAGGGACATATTTAGATGGATCAGGAGTTCAGTTGGAAATCCCCAGCGATATCGAAAGAAGTTGTTCGTAAGAATGTTGTCAGTATTTCTCATGGAATATCGTGTCTCTGCATTCATGATGTGCCCTTTGACATAATAAAACTGGGTTCTCGCATTCACATCTCGTGGAGATGAAGTATGCAGATGTTTATGTCTTTGAAACCTTTGGTCTTTGTCCACAACTAGCATGCCTATATGGACATCAGCAATGATTTCATGAATAAACTTTAATAAGTAGTTGGACAGTTCGGTACTAGTGGCAGCCTTAGGATCCCCCTAAAAGTTCTCCTTGACCTGTTTTCTAAGTTGGAAAGCGTCAATTTGTAAGACTTCAATGTATTCTCAAAATCTTGCAGCTGCACCTGTTAAACTGTTATAAGCATCAGCAAATTCCTCCATTTTATGTTCTACATGGCCAGTACGCTGGCCTAATTCAGAGATTTTGATTTTTCAGTTTACATGTCAGGGTGTTGAATTGTGCAGACATTATAGCTGTCAAGTGAGCAGAGAAATTGACTAACAGTTTTTAAGTTCTGATACTGTGGCCAGCTAGTCTTCTGGTAATGTAGCTACAGACTCCAGGAGAGACGGAGAACCTAACCATGTCACCATCTTGGGCCTGCTCCGCGCTATGCACTAAGCACTCTGTAGGTTCAATCTTCTCCATGGGAAGTTACAGCCAAATTATTTGCGTTTGTTACTTGTTCAAAAGTCCCAAAAGAATCCAAGTACAGTACTGCAAGCCTTTCCAGAAGCCACGGAGTGCAATTGAGATGCTGACTGAATGGTGTGTCCTTCGTCTGCACACAGTCTAGGTCAAACCAAGGATACGGGCTGCAAAAAGCACATAAATATTATACACAGAGTGACGCACAGAGCAGGTACATATAGAACAGAGGGGACAGCATAGGAGACACTAAACATGCAACACACAGAGAGACCGGATGTGCAAATAAACATAACATGTGAAAGGACCACAGAGGATTAAATAAACATAAAACAAGCAAAAGGGGAGATCAAAGCAGCAAACAAGTATAACACATAAAGGGGCTGCCCATGATCAAATAAACATAATACACAGAAGGAGACAGGAACAAAGAAACATGTAACACAGATGGGCTGCACAGGATCAGTTAAACATACAACATGCAAAGGGGTATGTTTGTGGTCATATAAACATGTAAGACACAATATAGACTGCATAGGAGGATTAAATGTTATTCTCACCTGTTCTCTGATAGTGTGATAGCATACTCCCGGCTTACAAAGTCTTCTGTCCTAAGTAGAGAACGATGGGAAGTCTCAGCCCTCATCCTAGTGCTGTAAATCATGGCATTTAAGGCACTCAGTGACTGTTTATGAGACAGCCCTTGTTCTGTGCACATGTTCAGAGCTGCGTAAATAGTTGTCTCTATAAACCGACTCACTATACGGACAATGCCTGTTAGAAGAGGAATAATATTCTAAACACCTGGTAAATAGTAAAATCCAAGACAAGCAGATTTAAATGCACATTATTAATACAGCCTGACACAGTGTTGGGTTTGGATCTAATGAAGGAGGATCCAACGGCACACTATCAGGACAGGCTCAGATATTGCATTCTGGGAGAATTGTATACACATGATTTCAGAGATAAATGGACTACATGCAACTGGATGGAGTACATCCTATATGTTGTAACTCATGGTGGGCTCTCTCCATCTGGAAGAAAATCCATTTGTCAGGTAAGACACCAATTCTTTGTTCCTTGGCTATATGCTCACAAATTAATTGTTACCACTGGACCAGAATCGGACCATACTTGTAAATCGCAAAATGGCACATTCAATGGTGGATCCTTGGTCAACTATGGTCATAACCTATGCTTTGGTATAAAATGCTCTGGTTTATAGATTCTGGTGGGCATTCTCTCGAATGACCATTAAAGTAACTAAATACCTCCATTTGTTTAAAAATACATAGGGATTTGGGAAAGAGCGCAGATAACTTTTTTCCTTTGGTTTTTATTGTATGTATTGGGGCTGATGTGTACTATGGTCGTAGTGGGAGTTTGAGTGCGACTTGTTTTTTTGTATTTGTATCCACTTTTGTATCACACAGCTATGTTACAATGCTGCCGCCCATTCTGTGTGTTCCCTATTAACGGTTAATAAGTATGTAGGGGTGTATATAAAAAATACCCCTCTATGTCTCATTACAGATATCTTTGCCAGCAAGCTCAAGGAAGCAAGGTGAATGGTTAGTGTAGGACCCTTGACGTGGCAGGTGGGGGTTTACCTCTAATGGCCATTGGAGTAACTAAATAACCTCCGTTTATTTAAATATACATAGTAATTTGGGAAAGAGCAGTTTATGCTGGTATCTATGCCTATTTGCATATCCAACACAGCATTCTAGGACAATTGAGGAAACATGACTTTTTAAAACTGCTGATCTAATCTGTATGAATATGAATGTTTGGACATGGTGTCCAAATCCTTAACAGAAAATGTTCTATGTAAGTTCCTGGAATAAATCACTACATACCACCTTGAGGATTTCCAAAGCTTGTTGATCTCACAATACTGGCATTTCTTAGAGCAGCTGTGATAGTCCAGTTTTTATCCCATTCCTGACTGGTCTCTGTCCATACAACTCGGTATTCTGGTCTGATAACGCCTCTGCTGCCCAATAGTTGGTTTAACCTGAAAAAGGAAAGATGACACAAGTACATCTAAAAATCAAACATTGGACTTTGCACAACTGTTATGATCTGATATTATGACAGTGATTGTACTAGAATTAAGCGTGGTACCCTCAACCTTGCAAGTGTCCGAGTATGTGAAATCAGATATCTGATTATTACCAACATTATATCACCTATATTCAGTTTGCCATGTCATATTTATGATATCTTCCCCAATCATTAGTCACTATGTTTTAGGTTCCCACCATTGTAATTAAGGAATATTGATCAAACCAAACTCTGTTTGCTGTTGGTTATACCTGGATAAAGGTACAGCTGATACCAGGCTATACACAATGCAAGCTTCTCCCACGTGGTTTCTGATCTCCATACACACATTGGGTAGCTGCGATGGCAAGCAGCATACAAAGATAATGTGGGCCCAGGTGGAAAGACCAACGTTGTCATAAAAACAGAGCACTCCTAGCTCCTGGAAGTCACCTGGGAGACAAATTATATGCTGTATGTTTCAGAAGTATCAATATAACCATCTGCCGAGCCAAAATGTCATAATGGCTTTGTAACTCAAAAATCTGAGCCAGCACGCATAAAGTCTTATAGCTCAAGAACCTGTGTCAGCAAGGAATAAAAGCTCTGTATCTTTCTAGTAGGGTATCAGTTGACAAAAGGGGGAATGTCATTGACCTAGTGGGGTGGATCTCAATTTAAGGGCTTTTTATACTAACATGACTGCATACACAACAATACTCTTGGAGGAATCAGTTACCCTCCCACATCGATCATACGACTGCTCACTACGTTTTTGGATAGATCTTTAGACTCTCCCTATCACCTTCTTTTTGTACTTTTCTATGTATTGATAATGCCAAACTGATGCTTCTCAAACATGCCCCTGACACGGACATTAATCTGTAATATAAGCCAAGACATATACAGTAACCAGAAATAGGGGTCTCAGATCCAGGATACATGCTCACTGTATACTGACTATTGTTTGACGTTTGAAATTATCCATTCTTAATTTCGGTCTACATTTATAACTGATGTATCTATTTGTCAAAATATTAATTGCAGTTCTGCACTGTTCATTGCCAATTTAAAATGAAAAATAAAGAATCTTAAAAACACCTCTGTATTAAAAGTATGACGGCTCTGTACTATAAGCAGATTTGCCAGCCCAGCATAAAGATGTTGTACCACTACATCTGCTAATGTCTAATAATAGATCAAATTAGTGTAATAGAGCAAAATAACAGTTTTTTACTTCTTGTAAAAATATTTTTGCCTATGACATTGTGAATTATAACAGCTATTGGTATTGGTATTTAATCCTTTGAATGTTTTCTTTTGTCTGCCAGTAGCAGTACAGTTTATTTTGAGATTCTGGGTTTAAATTCAGTAAGGATCGTGTGATGTACTTACGCAAGGTTTCTGGTCTGCGCGTGGATATGCGAATATCTTCTGCTTGCAAGCCACTCAGGTCAATCAGACAGCGAGCAAGTTGCTTCCCCAGCTGACCTGCGCCAATAATGCCAACATGGAGACACTTACTGTGAGATGCCCGTTTGATTGTGGGAGCAAAACTCTGGGTTGACTCTGCTTTCTCGGTCTGTCTAGAGAAAAGCAAATACAATGTTAGGTACTTACTAAATAATAATAAAAATGTTAATTTAAACCTTTTTAAGGGAATATATTCTTATTTTTATATAATTGCAATTCAGCAACGTATATCTCAAACATTCAAGTCTCTATGAGTTAATTCTCTGAACAGGGGATTATGGATAATTAGCAAGGGAATGACACTTTCTAGGCTAAAATAGCCACATTGAGGATTTTATTTTTCCCTAATTTGACAATTTTGTACTAAAATTAGCAATTTCCTCATCTATTCTCCAGTATTCCCAGTTCAGTTAAAAAAAAACAACAATTTGTTATATCAGTTTGTGACAGAAGCAATTAGCCAGCAGCAGTGGAGCGCAAACCATAGAAACATAGAATGTGATGGCAGATAAGAACCATTCGGCCCATCTAGTCTGCCCAATTTTCTAAAATACTTTCATTAGTCTCTGGCCTTATCTTATAGTTAGATTAGCCTAATGCCTATCCCACGCATGCTTAAACTCCTTTACTGTGTTAACCTCTACCACTTCAGCTGTAAGGCTATTCCATGCATCCACCACCCTCTCAGTAAAGTAATACTTCCTGATATTATTTTTAAACCTTTGTCCCTCTAATTTAAGACTATGTCCTCTTGTTGTGGTAGTTTTTCTTCTTTTAAATATAGTCTCCTCCTTTACTGTGTTGATTCCCTTTATATATTTAAATGTTTCTATCATATCCCCCCTGTCTCGTCTTTCCTCCAAGCTATACATGTTAAGATCCTTTAACCTTTCCTGGTAAGTTTTATCCCGCAATCCATGAACCTGTTTAGTAGCCCTTCTCTGAACCCTCTCTAAGGTATCAATATCCTTCTGAAGATACGGTCTCCAGTACTGTGTACAATACTCCAAGTGAGGTCTCACCAGTGTTCTGTACAATGGCATGAGCACTTCCCTCTTTCTACTGCTAATACCTCTCCCTATACAACCAAGCACTCTGCTAGCATTTCCTGTTGCTCTATTACATTGTCTGCCTACCTTTAAGTCATCAGAAATAATCACCCCCTAAATCCCTTTCCTCAGATATTGAGGTTTGGACTGTATGAAATATTCTGTACTCTGCCTTTGGGTTTTTACGTCCAAGATGCACCATCTTGCACTTATCCACATTAAATGTCAGCTGCCACAACTCTGACCATTTTTCTAGTTTACCGAAATCATTTAGCATTCCAGATGTTTGCTCAGCCATACTACAGTGCAGAGTAAGCTGTGCTTGTCCACGATACACTTATTATCATACCTCTCAAAATTGGGAGGTATTAAATCAGGATGGGGGTAAGGGCTTTCAGTGATGCCACTTGAATCACCCAAGGAAATGTCATGTCAGCTTGGGTGGGGTCTCAGCGCCGCTCACCTCTCGTGATGTCATTGAGTAAGCTTTGCCTTCTCTGATGCAGTCCAATCCAATGCTCTCCATAGAGGAGCATTGGGGACCTGATGAACATGCGCAGTGAGCATCATGCGTGAATCCAAGGTTCCCCATTGGAAAGCATTGTATTTAGGGCTTTTCAATGGGATTCCACGTCCCATGACTAAGTTTTACTCACTCGATGCCACAGGAACGTCTCAAGTGGCTTTCAGGAAGACACCCAGAGGTCGATGTAACCCTGAAACGTAAACATTGCACTTTCTAAAAAAATAAAAACTGTAATGTTTGAGTTTAATGCCCCTTTAATGAGAGCACTTGCTGTTTGTGGATATTTCCTGGAACGCAGAAACCGGAGCCCAAATTCACAATTGTCTCACTGGATCCTTGGATGCACTCATACATACTGCACATTATGGTGAATTATATTTCTGTGATACACACTAAAAGATCTCACCTGGTGTAAAGCAGCACTTTGCAGAAGAAGACACAATGAGCACATGCATTCAGCGTCAGACTGTGCCTCTGCTTTATCAGGACTCCAGGGTTCAGGAAGTTTGGACTGGCTTTGAGATCCATGGCACTGGAAGTCTTTGAAAGAAAACCTTACATGTGATGTATTAAACATGCACTGATGTTACATGCTAACTGATTGCAGCAGTCATAGACAAGTAACAGAATATTTACTCTAAGTTTAAATTAATCGAAAACATAGTTACAAAATGTAGGCTAAAATAGACAAGCTGTATAAAAGAATTTCTCAGATTCTGTTACTTTAGTCTACATTTAGCAATTTGGTTTTAAATTCACTACAGTTTAGTGAATAAACCCCACCAATCACACATAAAACATACATTCACATTACACACATGGAGCCATAAACAATATTCCAAACATTACTGCCATCTATTGCTGCATTTTGCTTCCTAATAAAACTCAGAGTTACTGACTGCCTGTTATTAGGGCTGGACGTATAGGAGACATGAAGCATACGCTTCTTTGATCGCTTTAGCAGACAAATGCATTTTATTGTTGGAATACCGGGCTTCCCAATTTCCATACAACGCATGTTGATTGTTGACCTGATCGGAGTGATTTGTCCAGAATTTGTTGGAGTTAGTCCTCTGGGAATATTTTAGCACAGGGCACTGGGAAAGTAAGTTGCTATGGTCAGATTATTGGGGCAATCGGTTACTTAGGTCAGGGTAGGAGTAAGTCATTAAGGCCTGGGTATTGGAGCAGTATGTGAATATAGGAAACTGGGACCATATCCAACACTCTGGAAATACTTTAGGCCGAGGGAGTAAGTTATTAAGATTAGGGTATTTGGGCAGTAAGTTATTACGGTCAATGTATTGGGGCAGTAAGTTGTTATGGTCAGGGCATTGGGGCAGTAAGTGGTTATGGTCAGGGTACTGGGACAGGAAGTGGTTATGGTCAGGGTATTGGGGCAGTAAGTTGTTATGGTCAGGGCATTGGGGCAGTAAGTGGTTATGGTCAGGGTACTGGGACAGGAAGTGGTTATGGTCAGGGTATTGGGTCAGTAAGTGGTTATGGTCAGGGTATTGGGTCAGTAAGTGGTTATGGTCAGGGTATTGGGGCAGTAAGTGGTTATGGTCAGGGTATTGGGTCAGTAAGTGGTTATGGTCAGGGTATTGGGGCAGTAAGTGGTTATGGTCAGGGTATTGGGGAAGGAAGTGGTTATGGTCAGGGTATTGGGTCAGTAAGTGGTTATGGTCAGGGTATTGGGTCAGTAAGTGGTTATGGTCAGGGTATTGGGTCAGTAAGTGGTTATGGTCAGGAAGTGGTTATGGTCAGGGTATTGGGGCAGGAAGTGGTTATGGTCAGGGTATTGGGTCAGGAAGTGGTTATGGTCAGGGTATTGGGTCAGTAAGTGGTTATGGTCAGGGTATTGGGGCAGGAAGTGGTTATGGTCAGGGTATTGGGGCAGGAAGTGGTTATGGTCAGGGTATTGGGTCAGTAAGTGGTTATGGTCAGGGTATTGGGGCAGGAAGTGGTTATGGTCAGGGTATTAGCCATGTTAATGAACCCTAGCAGTGAGCCGGTAAACCAGCAGCCATTATAAAGCAGACTGAACCCCGATAGCTCCCAATACAGCACCCTCACCTTACCCATAGCAGTCTGAACGCTGTATCCAAGGCAACACCAATCAACGTGGCTTGCTGAGGAGGCGGGGCTAGGTGGGTTTAACCAATGAGATCTACCGACCGGGGAATGGGCGGAGAAACCGACACCAGTAAGCGGCAGAGTGAGGTGTCAGTCACGTGACTGGATAGGTCACATGGTGCAGGTTGGACAGTTAGTACCAGGGTCATTATCTAAAATACAATGTAACCATTATTATAATAAACCTGTATTATAACCCATATTATAGACCCAAAACATGGATTATAGCCCGAAATAACCCAAAACATGGATTATAGCTTGAAATAACCCAAAACATGGATTATAGCCTGAAATAACCCAAAACATGGATTATAGCTTGAAATAACCCAAAACATGGATTATAGCCCGAAATAACCCAAAACATGGATTATAGCCCGAAATAACCCAAAACATGGATTATAGCTTGAAATAACCCAAAACATGGATTATAGCCCGAAATAACCCAAAACATGGATTATAGCCTGAAATAACCCAAAACATGGATTATAGCCCGAAATAACCCAAAACATGGATTATAGCCCGAAATAACCCAAAACATGGATTATAGCCCGAAATAACCCAAAACATGGATTATACCCTGAAATAACCCAAAACATGGATTATAGCCAGAAATAACCCAAAACATGGATTATACCCCGAAATAACCCAAAACATGGATTATACCCCGAAATAACCCAAAACATGGATTATAGCCAGAAATAACCCAAAACATGGATTATAGCCTGAAATAACCCAAAACATGGATTATACCCTGAAATAACCCAAAACATGGATTATAGCCAGAAATAACCCAAAACATGGATTATAGCTTGAAATAACCCAAAATATGGATTATAGCCTGAAATAAACCAAAACATGGATTATAGCCCGAAATAACCCAAAACATGGATTATAGCCCGAAATAACCCAAAACATGGATTATAGCCAGAAATAACCCAAAACATGGATTATAGCTTGAAATAACCCAAAATATGGATTATAGCCTGAAATAAACCAAAACATGGATTATAGCCTGAAATAACCCAAAACATGGATTATAGCCAGAAATAACCCAAAACATGGATTATAGCCTGAAATAACCCAAAACATGGATTGTAGCCCGAAATAACCCAAAACATGGATTATAGCCCGAAATAACCCAAAACATGGATTATAGCCCGAAATAACCCAAAACATGGATTATAGCCTGAAATAACCCAAAACATGGATTATAGCCCGAAATAACCCAAAATATGGATTATAGCCCGAAATAACCCAAAACATGGATTATAGCCCGAAATAACCCAAAACATGGATTATAGCCCGAAATAACCCAAAACATGGATTATAGCCCGAAATAACCCAAAACATGGATTATAGCCCGAAATAACCCAAAACATGGATTATAGCCCGAAATAACCCAAAACATGGATTATAGCCCGAAATAACCCGAAACATGGATTATAGCCAGAAATAACCCAAAACATGGATTATAGCCCGAAATAACCCAAAACATGGATTATAGCCAGAAATAACCCAAAACATGGATTATAGCCCGAAATAACCCAAAACATGGATTATAGCCAGAAATAACCCAAAACATGGATTATAGCCTGGATTATATAAAAACATGGATTATAGCCCGAAATAACCCAAAACATGGATTATAGCCTGAAATAACCCAAAACATGGATTATAGCCCGAAATAACCCAAAACATGGATTATAGCCCGAAATAACCCAAAACATGGATTATAGCCAGAAATAACCCAAAACATGGATTATAGCCCGAAATAACCCAAAACATGGATTGTAGCCCGAAATAACCCAAAACATGGATTATAGCCCGAAATAACCCAAAACATGGATTATAGCCCGAAATAACCCAAAACATGGATTATAGCCAGAAATAACCCAAAACATGGATTATAGCCCGAAATAACCCAAAACATGGATTATAGCCCGAAATAACCCAAAACATGGATTATAGCCCGAAATAACCCAAAACATGGATTATAGCCAGAAATGACCCAAAACATGGATTATAGCCAGAAATACCCAAAACATGGATTATAGCCTGAAATAGCCCAAAACATGGACTATAGCCTGAAATAACCCAAAACATGGATTATAGCCTGAAATAACCCAAAACATGGATTATAGCCCGAAATAACCCAAAACATGGATTATAGCCCGAAATAACCCAAAACATGGATTGTAGCCCGAAATAACCCAAAACATGGATTATAGCCTGAAATAGCCCAAAACATGGATTGTAGCCCGAAATAACCCAAAACATGGATTATAGCCTGAAATAGCCCAAAACATGGATTATAGCCCGAAATAACCCAAAACATGGATTATAGCCCGAAATAGCCCAAAACATGGATTATAGCCCGAAATAACCCAAAACATGGATTATAGCCCGAAATAACCCAAAACATGGATTATAGCCAGAAATAACCCAAAACATGGATTATAGCCCGAAATAACCCAAAACATGGATTATAGCCAGAAATAACCCAAAACATGGATTATAGCCCGAAATAACCCAAAACATGGATTATAGCCCGAAATAACCCAAAACATGGATTATAGCCCGAAATAACCCAAAACATGGATTATAGCCCGAAATAACCCAAAACATGGATTATACCCGAAATAACCCAAAACATGGATTATAGCCCGAAATAACCCAAAACATGGATTATAGCCCGAAATAACCCAAAACATGGATTATAGCCCGAAATAACCCAAAACATGGATTATAGCCCGAAATAACCCAAAACATGGATTATAGCCTGAAATAACCCAAAACATGGATTATACCCTGAAATAACCCAAAACATGGATTATAGCCGAAATAACCCAAAACATGGATTATAGCCCGAAATAACCCAAAACATGGATTATAGCCCGAAATAACCCAAAACATGGATTATAGCCCGAAATAACCCAAAACATGGATTATAGCCCGAAATAACCCAAAACATGGATTATAGCCCGAAATAACCCAAAACATGGATTATAGCCCGAAATAACCCAAAACATGGATTATAGCCCGAAATAACCCAAAACATGGATTATAGCCCGAAATAACCCAAAACATGGATTATAGCCTGAAATGACCCAAAACATGGATTATACCCTGAAATAACCCAAAACATGGATTATAGCCGGAATTACCCAAAACATGGATTATACCCTGAAATAACCCAAAACATGGATTATAGCCCGAAATAACCCAAAACATGGATTATAGCCTGAAATAACCCAAAACATGGATTATAGCCCGAAATAACCCAAAACATGGATTATAGCCCGAAATAACCCAAAACATGGATTTTATTAATGACACGGAGGCTCCTATTATGCTATCTCTTTCTTACTTTATTCCTCAGCAGCAAAGAGAAATATAAAACTGAAAGAGAAAAATGTAGATATGCAATAATAATAATAACAGGTACAACCAGATCTGCCTAGTAACAGGGCAGCCAATCAGTCTCTAGGAACAGTCCATAAATCTCTATCCTTGTACTTCCACTTTCTCTTTCTTTGCTGCTGTCCTCAGACCAGCTAAGTATAATTTTTCTCTCCTACATTGTTTTGATTGATGGCTTTTGCTAAGGTTTTTTATTAACTGTGTTGTCTTATATTATCAATTGTCTGTTTGTTTGCTGGCTTTTATGTGCCTTTTTGGCAAGCCTTATGTGCTTTTATACTTGGGTGCCTCCTTTGGTTCCCTATTTACCTCCCCTGCGTTTGCCGCCGCTCCCCCTGTCTGTCTGACCGTTCCCCTTTCAGACAGGGTTCGCGGCTAGCAGAGGAGGTTTCTCTCTGGAGCCCTGTGCTCCCCGGCTCCCTTTCCCTCGCGGCCGCATGTGCGGCCGCACTTATCGGCCGACCCGATCTCCCGCTGGTGCGAGGGAGTGCCGGCCGCGTGTGTGGTCGCGCTCCCCGTTCACTAGCGGGGGAGGAGCCTGGAAACGGCCGCGGCGCGCTCTGCACGCGGCGGCCATCTTCCCCTCGTTTCTCCACGCGGCTGGGTCGGCTCCCTTCTCCCTCCCATACTGTTGCAAGTATTGTATATGTAGTTTGTTCTAGTGGGTTACTCAACCCCCTTTTTTCTCCTGTATAGGTTTATGTTTCTGTCATCTGTTAGTTTTATTTAAGCCTTTACAGATTTTATTAAAGACACGGAGGCTCATATTATGCATAACTCTTTCTTTATTTCCTCAGCAGCAAAGATAGAGGAATATAAATATTATCAAATTGAAAGCAAAAAACTGTATAAGTACACAGGCAACCAATAGCATAACATAGGAAGTGGCTATATAAGGCCTGTGTCTCCCACAATCCCCCTCTTTCTTTGCTGCTTCCTCAGACAGCTAAGTACCATTATTGAGCTCTCTACTCATTGCATTTTATTGGTATTATTTGTTGTGTATTCTGGTTTTGCTTCATGCTCATTATTATTTTTTATTATTTATTGTTTATTTGCTTGTCTTTTACTCTTGTTGCCTGGATCGTTGGTGTATTTGGGGACCCCCCTGGGGCGTTTTGCCCGCTGCCGCGGGCTCTCTCTCTTCCCCTCCCTCCCGCCCCTATCTCTAACCGAGCGCTTCCCAGCGCTGCCCTCTGCCGCGGCGGTTTCTCTCGGCACCGCGGCTGATTGTGCTCGTTTTTTCCCTTTCACAGGCTACCCGCGCGGGTAGGTGCGCGCGCGCCCCTTCCCCCGCCGTGGGCCTGTACACGTGTGCACGTCTTTTTTCTTAGACGGCGGCCATTTTGGGTGATCGCTACGCATCGCTCAGTATCCTGCCGTGCGGTCTGTTCTCTCTGGGTCTCCCTGCTACACCAGCGATCAGG